AGCCAGCTACTTCTACTGTTACTGACTGTGCATTCTCTCCATTTACGTAAGGATATCCCATAATAATGTATTGATGAAGATATATATGTATTGAAAAAATAGTAAGAGTTGTGCGTTTAGATTAAACCCCTAAAGCTTTTGTAGCTTCTGCTACCCAAATTTAAAATTCCTGTCTTTTACCACCCACTCAGTAGGTCTCTGCCCAACACACGTGGCCAACCACCCATTACCCCTCCAATCAGTTCGTCAGTAATTTGTTCACTGACAGGACCCAGACAATACTTTTCGCTACGAGCCCTAACTGAAAGATGCGTATAGCCAAGAGCGTACAGTCCCTTCCGCCCTTCTTCAGCACAGCATTGCCAGCAGCGACCACACTTAACAGACCATGCAGCGACCAGTCTGGGTTTGGTCAGAAATCTCGATCACTGACAAAGCAAGGACAAGGAGATTCTACCAACTGCCTGAATATCAGCAAGTAATACTGATGCATTCGCTCTTCTCTCTCTCACGTTCAGTGTTTGCTTTCGTAGATGTCCTTTCATGTGAGTGCTTGCTTGGGACTGGGCACTTCAAAGCCTCTGGCCAATATTACGTGACAAAAGGATGAACACAGGAAGTTACTCAGTGCAACAATAATGAAGAAAATACCAATGATCCACAACATCCTCTCTAAACGCCTCCCCTCCCCTCCCCTTCCCCCCCAGGCAGTTCAGAAATTCTAAAATACCAAAGTGTTTCTGAGTTTGTCAAGTCTTCTCCAAAAGTGTCTACTGAAAGCAATTTCAATTAAAGATACTGTGTATTCTCCCCAAACACTAGTAATATTCAGAAGAAGTTTTACAGAACTGAAAATCTATTTGGTGGTTTTTACCCCATCTTCCACTGCTGCACTGAAGTAACTGTTTAATAGGTCCACTTCGCAAAATACAAGTAACTCTTGGTAAAAACTGTGAACAGGAGCTTTTGTTAAAGTGCAGCTGGAATATGGGAGAACATCCACAGAATAACGCAGATACTTCTGCTTCTCAGGATTGTTTTCTTGTTCAATATATTCTTATAATTGTCTTCACACAATGATTATGATTAATTCCTTGCTCTCGCCTCCCCAAACCTGCCCTGTATGTCACAAAACCTACAATGACGCAAAAATTAAAAAAAATTCCCTACCCCTGAATACTGTTTTTCAATGTCCATACACACCACTCCCACGTTGAAAGATAACCATAACAATTGCATTGCTCTCACAAATGTCCACCTTCCCGTTTTGCTGATAGTGTTTCTTGTGTAGTTGAATAGTGGCAAAATTTGGTGGTTACCAGACTATAAAATGTAGATTGCTGGTTTTGTTAGGAAATTGGATCCTTACAAACCTGAAAGATATTTCTGGCTATAATTTCGTGAGAACTATTGTTGGAAATTCATTA